TTTATCATTCTTTCACATTGATTTGAACTGATTTTTGACTAACAAAACTTTCATATCAAAGACGAAAAATCAGGTAACGAAAAACAAGTGAAAACACTATAGTGGAACATGGCCATGTCTCAATTATAGTGACCTGTAGATTGCAGGTTGTATGGAGTGTCATCAGACGGACATACGGACAGAAAATGACTCTGAATCGATCGGTATAATAAAAAGTTCGTCTATCTTAAGCCTTTGTAGATGTTACGTGCGTCCCTGAAAACTTACTTATGGCATAATGAGAGAATAAATAAACTATATATCTATATACTTAACAGGAGTAAGATGTGATTTCTAATGTAGACAATTACCTGCTATCAAAACATCATTTACAATATGCCCTATACGATGTATTATTAATTTGTATTCGCTTCATCTTGCAATCAAGTATCAAACGCCTTCAAATGATTCGATCCCCAAATCTAGTATATCTTCAGTACTATCTTTTCATAAAATTTTTAAAATTTCTTGCCTTGAAAATGTTTTTCTATTGTTTTATTCTTTTATTAAAAAAACTGTAAAATTTATAATCCTTGTACTATAATTGTTTAAACCTCCTTATCTTTTACATAAAATCTATAGAAATACATACTTTCCTATACCCTACATACCAACTAACATAACTTGGGCGTGTTCATGTGGTGTGCAAGAGTGCTTGAAGGAAATTTCATACTAACACTTGTACGAAATTTCAACATATATTAAGTGTTTGCGCCGGCCGTCTGTAGACGTGTTTGTTAAAACTCAAATATTCCAACCCATGACAAAAATGTTAAATCATAGTGAGCTCTAGGATGCGAGAATAGTTATAACGCAACAGTCCACAAAATTGCAGCCTTTAACATACATATAACAAACAAATAATTGGTGGTTAATAAATCACTATAAATGTTTATGTTTTGTGGATGATAAATTGTCGCACTAATTGTTTTTTCTTAGTACACATTTCCGTATAGTTGGTTGTGGTTGTTGATGTAGTTTTGGTGGCTAGATATTTTACAACGTTCTCTGCTGAATATTGCTTTTATTCTATATTTTAGATTTTGCGGGTAAACCAGAAGAGAGAGAGACTTTAATTTTTAGTATATCTCTCTCCTCAGGGCTCATTTTGTTAATAAAACAATAGCGTTCACAGAAATTTTAGCAAATTAATCAAACTATTTTTTAATGCCTCGATAATTGTGGTATAGAAAGTGGCCAAGGTTTTTCTTAAGACGAAAGCAAAGATTATTATGATATAAATAAGAAAATTATTCTCTCGCTTAACTTCACTTTAATGAATGTGCGAAAATAAAAGATAACAAAAAAAACCTTTGCCTTACTTAACATTCGTTTTGTTATACCAATAGAGAGCATTAAAGTTGAGTCTACTTTTGATTATGACTGAGATTTGCCTAAAGTGAGAAATTTGGTGGAGTTCATTTTTGTATGAAATTACTATTCAGCGTCAATTTTCGTTCCCACATATTAAAACTTAGAACTTTTCTTCTCTACAAGCGATCAATTTTCGTGAAGATCCTTGTCAAGGCAAGATCCAAAATATAGGCCGAGATGGTCCAAATTTGATATTTTAATTTTTTTACGTTATATTATTATTATGGTATAATTTTCATCACACCTTTTTGTCGTATGAACGTCAATTTTCATGATATGAAAGTTGGTTAAAAAATTTCCCCAGCCGGTCCAAAGTTTTCATATAAATTTACAATGCCGAGTTATTACTATTTAGTGACTTTTGCGAAGGCAGTTTGAAAATTACAATTTTATTCCATGTAAAGACTTTTCAGAAGAGCGCGTCACAAAATTGGACCGATCCAAACCAGTGTCAATAGCGTTTATCGTTAGATGAAAACATGTCACTCTACGAAATTTCATCAAAATATCTCAAAAATTGCGAACAGCAATTGGAACAAAATTTGCGTAGATATACCAACAGACAGGCTTGGATTGATATCATAAAATGTGGGAATCTCTTAAAACCTTCTGCGCTTTACGTACGTCCATACAAGCTTAAATATCTTATACCCCAAGTGATGTAGGGTATAACAACACATTTAAGAAATTTACTAAATTTCAATCCGTTGAAATGTGTTGAAAAATCTGCACTCTACGCGGAAAGCTCTTGCAAAATTAAGGGAAAAATTAGAAAGCTAAAGTCAGTGGGGGTCTTGCACCGCATTAAGGCCAAAGTCTGTGAAAACCATCTGAACTCTTAATGAATTCGTATGTTCTGAAATCAATGTCTTTTGTCTGCTACACTTTACTTCCTTCAGGTTAGTCACTATTAGAACACTGGAACAATTTCTCACTCCAATATATTCGATTTAGATCGCGTCGCCGAAAGAGCTCAAAATTGCACCCATCAAAAGAGCGTCAAAGATTGAAAAAAACGCCGGCATAAGTATATTGTATCTGAAGAGGATTTCCTCGAAACCGATAAAACAGATAGTGATGAATAAATAAATATTTGTCAAGAAAAATAAAAATTCATCGCACTTCGTAGGCCGCACCCGACTCTTTGGTAAAATTGCGGCTAATGTCAGAGGATCTAATTCACTGAGCTCAGTGGCATAGCTTGTCAAGCGGACAGTACTACGGCTGTCTCCTTCCCACAAGCTTTCAGGATTGGAACAAGCTGCTATGATATCAGCCCTAGCCGGTAATTATTTCCACACATTAAAGTCGATGCTTTCATATAAATCCTATTTAACGAATACTCTACAGTATTCCCTAATCGGAGTGTTGATAGTGTTGGCGAAAACTTATCCCGCTTTCACTGCTATTCGCGAGTGCTGAAACTACCGATATGTGTGACAAGATATAACTGATATAAAATCGTATCAACCCGCACAATCCAAGATTCCTCCCATGTTTAAATATATCGAAACGAAAGCGTTATTTTGTGGTGGTGTCATTTTATCCATTTGAAATATAGATCGGCTTTATTCAAATTCTTCTACTCTAGAGTGTATAAAAGGATATCTAAAATGAAAGCTAGATTTGGAGCCAGTGATGTCAGATTTAGATAGTTCTGGATCCTTACAATTTAATGCACAACTTTGCGGGCAATGGGCAAGTAAAAGCTTCATCAAATTTGTAAGCAAACTGAAAGCTTTCTATTATTAGGAGAAGCTTTGTAGCGCTTTATTATAAACTTGTTAAGTTATTACATTTTTCATATGTCGTTTGCGAGCTTTATTAACAAAAAAAGCTATGGTTTAAGAGCAAAGGAATGTAACATGTCCAAGTTATATGGCATTCTCGTGGACATATTTTCAGAAACAAATTTTCAAGCGCATAATTATCTTAACTCCTTTTCATGAGCTTTTATTTAATTTTGCAAAAATTCGATGTTTCTCTTCCTATTAATTCTGCAGTCGTTTCATTTTCCGAATGATTTATATTAATTACCCGTTAACTTTATTAAGATTCTTACGATTTTTAAAGAAATGCGATTTGATAGGTTATAGACGAAAAGATTTCGCTTAGATCGTATTCTTCACCAGTGAGGAAGACAGCTTCACGTAGCATATCTTCATCTGACAACCACGGCTTAATTGCCTTTGGTAGCATTGAGTGATGTATTTCACTCAGTACAGTAAAGCCTGGAGCAGCGTTTTGTTTCTACCATAACAACGTAAGCCCGCTAAAAGCATCCTACATTAAAATCTTACATTGAAATGTGGGGCTTCCCATACTTTATGTGCGCTTACGAACTTCAAACCTGTTAAAGGTTTTTCGAGTCACCACGAGATAATGTGCTGCTCATTTTATACAGTCATTAGAGGTCTCTCCAACTAGTCTCTCACCTCTAGACAATATTCACTTTATCACTAGTTTTTAATACCGGCTACTACCCATCTTAAAGCTTTAGTTGGTATGACAAACTCATTAAGTACATTGGCAGCCAATTAGGGTAGCAGCCAATTGTGACACAAGGATATATTAAACTTGTGCGGATGTATACAACGCCCAGAATGCCTTGTATATTACATTGTCTATCCATCTGGATGTACTATTTTCTTGTATTCAACCACCTACAGGTCGCAACTTATGAGGCATTTTAACGAATTTTAGTACACCAACGTGTTTTACTCCAAGGGCGAGGGCTATTGGTTATGACTTGAATTGGAGCAAACTCGTTTTATGTGCAAATCGAAAATTCAATAGTATTTAGGCTCTAGTTCGATATATCAAAATAATAGGGGAAAGAGAATATTTTTTTGACAAAAGACCTAATGCGTTGCAGTTCCCAGAGAATGGTTAGGAAAAATTAAATAGAAAATCGGCTTTCAAGGTTAGTTATATTAAACTTTTATTTACATAACAAAAAATTAACAATAAATCAAACACAATCTAAATTAATATACTTCTATAACACGACTTTGCAAATAAAGCTTTTCCTATATAGACTTTATGATAGAATCTTTAATGCTGGTAAAGTATATCGAAAATATCTTTAAAATAAAAACATGTGCAATACATGTTATATATGTATATACATGTATATATATATATATATATATGTATATATGTATATAAGAATATGTCTATGTATGAGTGTGTGCACGTGTGTGTGAATATCTAATAGTAAAAGTTTTACTAATACATTGACATACATGGCCTAGGACGAGTAGATAGGTAGGTATACGAGTAAAGTTGTTTTTCAGTTTTTAATATATTTTTCTTATTCTCATAGGAAGTTGTTAGACAATTATTCGTATATACATTTAAATGAACGTATGTGAACGTCTCAAGTTTTACATAAAAATATGCATATTTAAAATGTTTAGTTAGGTGTGGTTCTTGCCCCCGTCCTAAAATATTACAAAAAAATTTTTTTTTTTAATATAATTTGTCTTCTAAAATCGATTGTCCTTCCTTGCAACAATATTAATTCAATTAAAATATTAGAATTTTGGAAAAATTTTAAAATCTTCCTGACTTGGATAACTTTCTGATTTTTTAATATCGTAGACCATAAGACTTTTCATTGGTATGTTCCATTTTCCTTAGACTTTTGTTTCATTAGACAATTGTTTTCGAATAATTAGGTCATTTTGTTATCGTACAAAACTCTTCCACGTTAGCACCAATTTTTTTTGTCAGTGTCAATGCACATTCATGGAATGGGTGTTGCTGTAACATTCGTTATGTCCGCAACGTGAAAGACTCGAAAAATTTAAAAAGATTGAAACTATTACAGTAAGGTCTCTGAAGCTTGCACGTCGCACATGATAGCGTCAACGTGGAAGAATCGGCAACCCTTGATACGCTGGGCATATGAACACAACATGATGTTTGTTGGACAGAATAGTTGTTCAAAGTGCCGAAAGGCCCTGCCAAGGCCTTAAGTTTTTTAAAGTGGTGCAAGAAATGCTTTACTGAAGTCGATATCCGTACCATTTACTCTGCCTATATCTAGCCAAAATTAGAGTATAGTCCGCATGTATGGGCGGCAGTGTCCACACTTTGCTTGTAGATCGCCAACCGCGTACAGCGAAAGACTCAGCTGCTCATAGGCGACGAAAGTGTATCCAAAACTTTCGATAACCTTGGATATCGGCATAACGTGGACTATGTTGTGCTTATGTAGAGGTATATCCGAGCAAGTCTCCTCGAAAGACAATAGAGATTTGTCCGGCAATTAAGTGCTTCAACAGGACTACACGCCTTTCTTTCCGTTCGCCTTGGAGGACGATACGCTACTGTTACTCGTGCTTTCTTAAACACACTGACTGCGTGTTGCGAAAAAGACCTACCAGCAGTTGTCGCTCCCGCCGTACCTAATACCTCCATTTTCAAGTCAAACGTTCGCAAACAACATTCCTTCCCTCCACCCCTATCTTCCTATAATTCTTCTTAATCGCAACCGTGCCCGCACGAACACAGGCCATCCCCTCAGCGGTTGATCATAGAAAAAAATTCTTGGGAATTGCAAACGCGTTATACCGTAATTACGGGGCAAGTAGACAAGTTATACGATATATGTTTTGATATACATGACAAAGCCGACGAATGACACGAATTATTAAAAATGAAATGAAACGCTTAGTGGGGAAAATCTTCTAAATATGATTTCTAAGATTTGCAGGGAAGCAAGGAATCTTTACTTTTCTATTGCAATGCGTAAGGCGGAGAAGTGCAAGAAGGGCCTTATGCGGTTTTATGCGACTCTTTGCAATACTTTAGGACGAAGGGATGGTTTTTGCTTTTACATTAAACTTAATTTTTCTGTTTTTTTCTTTTTGCTTCATTTTTTAGTATATTTCGGTTAATTATTATATGTGCACATCTATGCAATGAGTGTAATATTTATCAACTTTAACAGTATACTCAGGCGTTTACATTGTACTTCTAAATATTTTATATATGTATAAATTACTTTCATTTGTTATTTATTTATATTTTAAATGATATAAAATTATGCTTGTTTTTGTATTTTTTTTATTTTTTATGAATAAATGTTTTTTGGCCCCCAAAGGAAAATCAACTTAATACTGAAATTGCACTGAAAAAACAAACTGTTTAATAAGAAGTAAAATAAGAAAAATAATTTAACCGAAATGATTTCAGCTTTTATCATCTTCATATTCCCATTTCTATCAGCGATTATTAAAATAACTTTTAAAATATGATTTTGTACCGTTTTAGTAAAGACTTGATAGACTAAAGAAATTCACTTAGATTTACATGTACATAAACATCAGCGGTTTATATCATTTATTAACAAACGTCATCCGCAGGAAGAGTATTAAAAATTGGACTAATTTTATAGATCCCAATAAATCAATTCTCGTTAGTGCATGTGTATTAAGACATGCTTTCGTCTTCATCTACCCTATAGCAACATTTTAATTGTCCGATACTGAAACAAGATTGTCAATCTTAATAAAAAACTCAAAAACACTATGGTCGCCCGCGGCACAACATTACATATCCTGCACTACACCACAATTTTTCATATAACGACATTTACGAGGTAAGGTGTTATATCAAAAGTGGTCGAAAAACTGCTCCGATCGTAGGTTGGACACAAGAGTGAAAATGGACAGACGGACAGACAAGCCCAGATCATTTCGAAAAAGTGATTCTCGAATCACTATACACTAGAAGGCCATTCTCGAATCGGTCAGTGAATACCTTCGCACGAATTCAATTTGCCTTCGTATCACAAGTCTTGTAGAGTATAATAAAAATATATTATAAACAATTTGCATTAATTTGTTCGATATTCACTTGAATTTTTTTTTTTTTTTTAGTCATTATTTAATGCTACTCAAGCGCAAGCATTCCATTCTATAATTTACGAAACAAATAAATGCAAGGGGGGTTGTACTTGTAGGCCCTTAATGAAGACCTTTAAAATCCATTAAGCCCGTGAATTCAGAAATTGTTACTGCTCTGCACAAAATAATACTTAACAATAGTACCATAGAAGGGGATGGTAGAATATGTGAATGCAACTTGAATTCAAAAAACAATTCCCTCGTAGGTATTTATCATTCACAGTTATTTAGAGCTCTTCTGTGCTGTTTTAAAAATTTTATATACTCTTCAGGAGACATATAACAAGGATAGCATATAATCACCAAATTGACATATGTATAACTTAGCTATGGCGAGAGTAAACTGTCTAGCCAAAGATAATAACAAACAAAGTACTAACAAACAACATAAGGATGTGAATCTGAAATGAATTTAACGATAACATTATTAAAGATTTTAATCTTAAAAAGTTCTCACTTAATTAATCAGTTCACTTCTTTACATTTGGATTTATTAGGAAAAATAAATTAATGACTAATCCTCTAGTGGATAAAATTACGATTAAAAGAAAATCATGTGCGTTGCAGCGTAAAAGTAGTTTAGTTTTAATGGGTTATTACATGAAGTGCTTGAAATCTTACTCATCTTCTTCCTTTGAGATAGTACAAATGATTGAATGCTTGAATTACTTGAAATGGTTTTAGTTTTAGAAACGTTAACCATAACACACAGGTCCGATAATCGCCTCCTATATCTACTCAATTGTGCTCTTGACAGATTTCGAATTTCGAAAACAGTTTATATAAAATTACGAATTGTGAAAATTTCTTTAATAAAAAAACTGCCAATAATAACAGATCGCAAATAAAAAAAAAATATTTCAACATTGGACGAACGTATAGTAAATATGAGTGTTTAGTGAACATCTGCATATATATATATTTTTTTCTATAGCCCACATCACTTGTGATACAAAGGTATATTAACTTTGCGCGTATATATGCAACACTCACAAGGACTTGAAATAAATTCACATTTTATAATGCCGATCCTTTCAGGTTCGTTTATTATTAGAATCGAAGCTTGTCCGTTCGCCCGTCTGTCTTGTTTATTTTCATTCAACCTACATTCTGTAATCTTTGAGATATTTTTGTGAAATTTGATACACCGACATGGTTTGGCCCAAGGTTTTGGTTGAAGCTTATGCTTGACTAGCTTACTGCCTTTATTGTACTGCACTTTTGCGAAAAAAGGATTAAAAAAAAAAAATATTGAAGTGAATATTGAAAAAATCAATGCAAATTGTTTTTAACATTTTTTTATTATACTTTACACGACTTGTGGTACGAGAGCAAATTATGTTCGTGCGAAGATATGTAACACGCAGAAGGACTTGCGACAGATCTATTTTTTAGTATATTGATCGATTTGAAATCGCTTCCTTGAATGGGTCTGAGTTTCTCTGTCCGTCATTCAGTTTGCACTGTTGTGTTCAACCTTCAGTCGGCAATTTTCAACATGTTTTGTTGAAATCTGGTACCCTGACGCCTTTTGGCCCAAACAGCGAACGCTGTTAAAAATATGATTCGAATTGGACCACTTTTGCGACCACTTCTCATATAACGCCTTATTTTGAAAGGCCGATATATGAATAACTGTAGGGTGATATAGAGCATGGGCCGTGCCCCACCCACTATAACCTTTTGCCTTATTTAATATAAAAAGTTCCTTTTAAATTTGATTAGAAAAAAGTACTTAGAGACGTTTGTTGTTCAGCGTATTTAGGAAGAGAAACTTAAAACCTGTACACCTTGCTTTCTTTGGCAACATTTAACTTAAGTACGTAATCAATTCAATCATAATAAAAACGGAAACTGAAAACGTACGCGGAAAAGCCGAAGAAAACATAAGATTACCGTTACCGTTTGACTTTACTATCCCTCACTTGTTTTCAACGTATAAACAATATTTATTACATGGAAGTATATATATATAACAATTATCATATACGAGCGCCAGAGTGCTCCTTTTAGTGCTGGTTTTATATACATATAAGGTTTCGTTTTGACGTTTTGGTTTTTTTTTTTTTTTTGCTAATTAGCATTAACTTTACTGCATTTTCTTGTCTTCGTGGGCTTTTTTAACAATCGCCAACTTGGAATGAGGCGAAGCAGGAGACAATGTGCGATATGGAGCCTCTTTGGTACCATGCAAAACCAAAGACCACTCAATTAACCAACCCGAACGAGGCTGCGCTGAATTAAACCGGGCCTTGGCGAAAATTGAATATTAATCTCATATATACACACATATGCATTATTTCTGTTTGTTTTCCTACCTCCAATTTCCAAACACCATGTGGATATTCACCCCAAGAATGGGTAGTCATGAAAGGCCACTTTGTGAAACCATCGCGATGATCGTCATCATTAGCTCGTCGTGATAATATCATAGAACTGAAAAAAGTTCATTTAAATTTTTCCTTAAATATCCTGCACTTTACAGATATATATAGTACGCACCGTGTACCCATAGGTGACGTTACAAAGAGTTCTAAATCACCTCTTCGCGAAGCATTAGCGCTTATCACCGCCTGCACATGTTCTAAATAATTCACTTCAGTATTGCTGCCCTTGCACGCATCAGTTTTCAATTCCAAAAACAACGAACGACCTGAATAAATAGGACTAAAATATAAAAATTAGAAAACTATACTTTTTTTTTTTAAAGGTGAAAATTGAAGCTTACTGAGGCTGTTCAATGACACCAGCATCGCAGTGATACCTAGCGGGTACAGTATGCCATTGTTTAGCTAAAGTTACTATACCGCCAGCATCCAGAACGCCGAAACCAAACAAATGATTAAATTCCAATCCCACACCGTTCATCGTCCAATGAAAGCGATTTTTCGCATCAAAAAGTGAATTACGTTTTGATGTTAAAACTGTCAAATGTTGTATATCGCGCCAAGTCAAGTCAGGGCTAAAAATAATTGCAAATATTGATTTCTCTTTCTCTTCATTTCGTCGGCGAATTTACTTTGCCTCCAAAGCTAACGCGAAAATACCGGCAGCTTCGGGCGCCGCCGCACTTGTACCTGAATGCGTTGTAGTGCATTTCCCATATAAATCAGTGGTAGCCACCCCAGTGTTAGGATCTTTTGCTCCATTACTAAACGTACTGGCCAATGTCGAACTGCAACTTTCATCATAGTGAGCATTTTGGCCATCATTTATAGCACTATTAATGGATATCGTCCACATAGAAGCCGCATAACCATCGCAATTACAATCGTCTTCTTCACCGCCATCCCCCGAAGCCCAAACATATATATTACCTAAGCCATTACGACCCTAAAAATAACGTCATCGCATTTACAGGGATTGTATAATCAGCGAATTTTATTAAATTTTATTAATTATCCCCCCTTACCTCATTTACACCTTGCACAATTGCACGCATTGTAGCATTACGTGGACCGTCAACAGTCTTGCCGTCATCTGTCGGTCCCCAAGAAGCACTATATATATGAATTTGATGCGGCTTATGACCCATTGAATTAGCCTCAATTAAATCGGTCATATACGGCTGATCCAACATCCGTATGCCTGTAAAAAAAGCGAAAACCTAAAATGAATATATACTTGAAATATTCTAAAAAAAAAATTCATTTAAAATTCAATTCAAAAAAATTGATGATTATCATTATCGTCTCCATTTATGCCTGCCTTTGTCATTGTGTGGTCTAGTAATTTATTTATAGTTGTAATAAAATCATTGGCCCATGAAAAGATGTGTGTGTGTGTGTGTGTGTGTGTCTTTGCGCCCATGTTTACAAATAATTGACAGATTATAAACCATATACACTATGCTGCACATATAGTTCCGTTATGTTAGTACACTCACGACGCGAATGTATTGATTGCCACGAACTTTAATCCATAGCTGTCCTCATTTTCATCGCTATCTAATATAGTTAAGCTTAATATAACTGCTTGGAGCAAATAAAAAAACTGTTTGACAAACTGCTCAGATTTGCTTCACTATGCAGAGTACATCGTAAAAGTTTATAAAAATCAATTCCTTTCAAATGTCACTCCGATATAGAGAAATAAATGCTGCTGTATTTTCATAACTTTATGAATTTATGTCGTTTGGAATTATAATCAATTTATTGGATAAATACATTGATATTCATATAAGAAATGGTTAAAGGTCAAAACTAACGTTACCGCGTCAATTGTAAATATGTCATTCGAAAAGCAAACGGAAAAAAAGACTTTATTAACTAAGAACCGCAAAGGGAAATGATGCGATGCGGGAAGCAATGCTTTAAGATTGAATTTTTGATTAAAACTTTAAAGGTAAAGTAAAGGAAGGGCACACTGAAGACAAGGCATTTGCCGGCAACGTCCTTCACTTGCAATGAGCAAACTGTCATATCTTGCCCGTGTACAGTCTACCATCTTGCCGCGGAAACCTTATCTTATATCTCAAATATCCAGTTTTGAACTGAAGGCCATGAGCTGAAAAAGGCAACAATATTTTCAGAATAGATTGCGATCTGAACTTATGGTTTTTCAAATAATTTATTAAACGATTAATAAGTGGGTAGCTTCAAAGGAACCCAAAACAAAGAGATACTAAGTAGCATTTTCCAAATACTTGCCAAGCATAGGTGTATATATTGATAGGCTCCATAAAACAAATTAAAAATGCAAAAACGCCTAATAATGTCAACGTATGGTGGAGACATGTGTGGCAACATAACACTCGAAAATCGTATACATGTTCTTAATTAGCATGATTAGAGGAATTATTTTAACACATGGTTAACTTACGTTCAACGTGAACTCAAAAATTTTTCAGGACAAGAACAAATTCGTTCTCAAATTTCGTCCCTTTTGTCGATTACCAAATTCACTTGAATCGATTTATGGGCCCGCCCGTATTTTCTTCTTCGAAGTACATCGTGGTCTCAAAATTTATAAGAACTCCAAGTTGAATATTGAATTATCTTCCATTCAAACTCGAAAATCAAGTAAATGGAATGGAAGCTTGGCCCACAATGTAGTACATAAATGAAGGCGACTATGTTCTCATTAATTTGGATGATTACATACAATCTGCTGTCACATTGTATAAAAATGTCATAGTAAAGTGTCTCAAACTGTATGCCGTTTTTAAGATAAATATTATTTGATACATCGCATGAAATCATCTCTACGCTACACTGTGAAGAAGTTAAGGTAGAAGGTCTTTTTCTTATTGTTTCAACTTTCGGACTAATTGATCATTAACGGTGATAGAACTTTCTTACGGCCGAAAATACATTCACGTGACAGTTTGAAATCGTTTGAAAAGAGCATGCTAGGAAAAAAAGCTCACAAGAAGAGCAAAACAAACCGCGAAGATCTTTTATATATATAGAGAATGCCATATAGACAATGCCATCTGATGCATAGCTCTTGCAACAATGGCTCTTTTATGAAAACATATATTGAAAGACTGCATTGATCGATTAAACTATCAAGCTAAGGACTAAGGTAAGTGGCAAAAGTAGCGGGCAAGCATCTTATTTTTATTTGAATTCAAATGAGTACGAGAAACGCAATAATAATCCGCTTGAACAGCCGAGTTGATAGGAACCTCGACTACCAAGTCAGTGTTCACGAGTTCAAGTCTTAAGTGCAATAGAGTTTTCTTTTGTCTCTATTTCTTCCTCTTCCCTCCCTTCTTTCTGTCAATCGCCGTGTTCAATGATCATAGGATCATATTAAGAAAAAAAATTATAGCAACCTTGTACCTTGTGCAAAGTCTTCTGTCTTCAATGATTTTTAATGTAAGTAAGTCATCGAATATCTAACGAAGAGAAGCATTTTTGAATTTACCGCAAAAATTTTAACATATATAAGCAAAATCTAACTCGTTAGCAATGCCATCTACTTGCGGAACACATTTATTAATATCTGTCATAAAAATTTTTTCAAGTCCTACTTGTTACTCGATAATATCTAATAATACAATATTAATACAATATTAAGCGAATATCATAAAAACTTCAGCTAATACTTGTGTACTACTAACTGATTTGTAAAACGGAGGCACGTACGTATACATTCGTTTGAAATGCTGATAAGCTACTTAGATGTATAAATCTTTTTGCGGTTGACATGAAATAACTCGTAATATAATGTGAACGGAGCCGTTATGAACAGCAAGCACAACACCCACATTAAATCCGCAAAATTAACTCATAAAGGCTGACATTTTATCAATAAAAAAATACGCTATGCGTAGGCGAAATGCATTGAATTACGCACAAAAGTATCATAGAAGTGTAGTGGGCTATATCTAAGCCACAAAAGGACATAGAAATCAAATTTCGAAACCTAAACATGCGTTGGAGGAGGCGAAGAAGGACCGATTTGATATAATTACATTCCTGTGAAACCGATTCGGATATATGTTTGAATAAATAATGAACACTTCGCTGCCATATTAGACTTTTCATTCAATATGTTTGTTGTTCCTTGTGTGCTTTAATTCACTTAATTTCATAAACATAATATCAATAAGACTATTTACCCGCAATTTTGCTATCATAAGCAACGCCAACACCACAAATACCATTATCTCTAGCAGCAGCTACTTCTCCAGCGCAACGTGTACCATGACTATATGATAAAATTCAAGTAAAACAATAACGTATTCGAAAATCAAATAAATGAAAACATATGCTTCTTACGGAACTACATTAACGCAATTGAACTTTTCGAAGCCATATTATTTACATTAAATATATATGTATATATGTATATATATATATATATATATTTTTTTTTTTTTTTCTCTTGCATATATTTACCTGTTAAACCAATCATCCGTATAACGTGGATAGGGGAATGGATCATTGCTACTAAAATCATAACTGGCCTCAGCGTTCTGCAAAGAGAAGGAAAATGTTATTAATAACATTTACGTCACAATCTACACAATCCCACTTTTCCTATAAATTTGCTTTAACCAAATCTGCTTATCTTTTATCTCTTCTTAGAATTTACATAAACATCTTTTGACTTTGATTTTCCGCGAAATCGCTCGTTAGAATAACAATAGCGTCTAACAAGCAAAAAAAGGTAACAACGTCAAGTTTCTTAAGTATGATGTAAATATGTTGGAAACTCTCTTGCAAGATTCGCCTTTAAGACTAAAGTATTACATTTTCTGGTTTTTTCTTTTTTTGCAGTGACCAATAACTTAGGGATTGTCCTCTGTACGCGTAACACAGTGACACGGTCGAAAGGAAGTGACGAAAGAGATAGAAGGTAGAAAAGAGAAGAAATGCAGTCCAGTGAGTGGGTGCCCCATATAAGACTAAGCATTCATTATAACTACGACCGTAGTAAACTGTGCTGCACTGGGATTTGAATCCACGGACACTAACTTCGTAGTCTCGGTTCTTACCTGCTCGGCAATTTCATGGGTATAGGGACTTTTTTATCAAACTATATTTTTACTTCAATACGTGTAACAGATAAGGAAAATGAAGAACAGTTGCAGTGAATATAATTTACTTATTCCGTGGCCCTTTACTAAGCCTGAAGGGATCAAGGCCTTATGATCGAACACTAGTCATAGAAGAAAGCTTGTTTGATTTTGTATTAATATTGGTATTCCGAAGGAGTAGTCTTAAGAAAATGCCGCGATATTAATTTTATTACAAACCAGGATTATTAAGTTCCGCAAACCATGCAGACAAAATTGTCTTGTGATTTGTGATGTCTTACTGATGTTGCTTAGAACACCAATTTTAGAATTTTGTTACCTCACTTTAGAGATTTTAAAGGCTCGAGGAACTGATGGATATATGGACGGACGTACAAAACGAAACACGTGCCCTGTAACTGTGAACGATATTTCCGGCTATCCAATTTATAATTTTTTTCTGAAAATTTACAGATTAGAACAAGTGCTTGGATCTATTTTGATCATTTTTATACTTGAGAAAAATTTGTACAAATATATTTTAAACAAAATATTTTGCATCATTTTCTGCAATTCAATCTTCCTGGCAATGTGGCGATAGCCTGTCGAAAGAACTTGTATTAGTTTGGCAGCATCGACCCACCTTCGCCCTTGTTCAACTTAGCGAAGTTGCCATGTTACGCCGATACGCCGACATGTGGTATCCAGAAGGCGGAATGGCTAATGAGTATGTTTGCTATTCGACATGTAATAGCATACAATTCTTGCAACAAGTGGCCAAAATCGTATTTGCAATCAATAGCCATCTTAACCGCTATTGCTGATCTTTCTTGCAACAATCGTTCAATTGGTTCAATTGACGCCATTGCACACTTGCAGTGACAGGTTAGCAACTCATGATATACTACACCTTGTTGATGCCACCATGTGCACAGCAAGACGTTATGGCCATATATTTTCCGCTTCGATGTTAACGTAGATGGCTCTCCTCGGCTAACAATTGAGTTTCTGCGCTTGGAATTGCCGTAGCAGACCCGCTTTTCCTCGTCAGTCACAATACACCGCAGTAAACTCTTCCTCTCAAAACTGTTATTTTATGCGGAGATAGGTCAAAATCATCGAATTGAATCGTTGTGTGCATTGATACTCTGCTTTATTTTATCATCTTCATCTGTGGGAGTTGTTGCTCAAGACTAACGCAAGTTCTTAGTAGTTATGTCTAGGATTACCACTCGCAAAAACTATTGCGTTTGTGTGGATATGAGTTCATTTCAAATGTTTCCAATATGCTTTTCTATGAATACTTACATAATTAAATTTTAAATCCGGATGCATATAATCAACTCCTGCAAAGTACACGTAAATATGTATGTAAAGAATAATTTAATTTGGAAAATTTGTTTAGGAAAACAAACTAACCGTCATCCATTATGGCGGTGGTTACATTTTTGCCAGTTATACCCTGATTCCAAGCTGCTTGAACGTTCAAGTCCAAACGTGCTTTACCACCGTTTTGTCCGGTATTTTTCAAATACCATTGCAAATGAAAGTAAGGATCTGTAGGTTCAGTATCAGCATTATCGTTCTGAGCATTGTGGTAGTTGGCATCGAATTTAAGGCCATGAATTGCTGAAATAGCCGGTCGTAAACCGCGTTTAACACGCTTAAAACCAGGTTGTTGTGTAGCAGTATGAATCTATGAAAAAATGTAATCAATATAAATTAATTGAATTTATTTTATTTAATTAAAAGTAATTTTCTGCATTATATTAAGAGAATTGAGAAATAAATTCCCCTTTCATCCTGAGGGAAATTTGCGTATACATCAATATAACCGACAAGCAAAATATACTCCATCAGTTCTAATGGGCACTTGAGCTTTTATTCGCAGTAAAATTGAAATTTGACCTCAACTATTTGCAGTTGATTGAGTTTTCGTAAGTGTACTTCCGCGTTGAGCTGCATTACATAAAACTTACAAATGACAACAAAACACTTAATCACTTTCCTTTATAATATATATACATAGGTATATATATGTATATAACAATAATTGACAGATCTGATTAGCAAAGATAATTAAATCGTTCTTATGTACGGAAAATAATAGATTTTTATTCACATATACATCGACCACTTATGATCGTATACATGAAGTCAAGAAAGCGTAAACCTATTTTGTGTGACATTTAAGAAAGTTTTATCAAAACTATGATGGGTGTTATCTATGATAGTGAACGTGTGAATGCGAATCGATACATATGCATATATGACAACACACCGAGTTGTTTCTCATATTCACACATCAACTGCTTTGAAAGCCTCCTTTGCACTTAAAGTTAAACCAAAAAGAAAGAAAAAAGTACTATGCAGGGTGTGCTCGCTATTTCACTCTGAACAAAGTTGCTGCTTGAAATTGTCGGAAAGCAAGTACAATTGAGATGGTACACTTAGCCGATCACGACTTGGTCCAGGTTTCCTATCAAAATTTTCAGCGATAATTTTTCCATTTTAAAAAAGAATCAAAGAACATTTTATGATGTATTGTGAAATTAATAAATCAAGAGATAATATAATAAACACTGACTGTTATGGACCAAAAAAGAAGAAAATATAGTTTGATTCAAGTTTTCACAAAAAGCAACCGCAATACAAGCTCTCCCTTATCTGCGCAAGAAAGAAAATTATATTCGACTATGGCCGAATCTTTTATACCCATCGCATTTACCTTTGCAAAATGATCTAATAACATTGAATCGACTTGAGTGATTTTTTTCATTTTTGTATAAGAACTCTGCGATCGCCTAAAGAATATATGTAAAGCGTAAATTTGTATCGTTTTACAAGTACTATGCAAATCATATTTACTACTATGTTCAAAAAGTAAGACCAATTTAAGTTTTTCTTTTTTTAATCAATTCCGGTTTCTTTTTGCGAAGAGTGTCAAGCAAACGACACATAACATTCAAATAATAATCTTTGCGAAAGGAATTCCTACCGCAAAACAACCCGATAACCGAAGAAAATTGTTATAATCCCACCATAATTTTTGTACGACAGCACCAAGTGTACCTGACGTTCATTGTGTCACAATATCTATCGCAGTGCTACCAATTTAAAAAAAAATATATTTCTAATACTCGATGTGCCCGTGAAAGTTAAGTTGCTTTTCTGGCATACTATTGTGTCGTATTGACTTGATTTGACATATTTTCCGGTAGCAACGTATCCATAAGAACTTAAAGTGGGTTTGCTATACTAGAAACCAATATTTGAATTTTTGCGACTAAGATCACGCTTACCGCTGATAGGCAGATATATACGGACAGACGGATACGTTGAGATCGCCCCGGATTTTGATACTATTCAACAGTATAAACAAAGTATATAAGTAGGGTAGGGTATATATATATATATATATATATATGTATCTAAAAGAACTACAAAGTGTATGTGGGTATACAAAGACAAGCGATTCCATCAAAAATATATTGCATAACTATTCTACAATAAAGGTAAGCCAGTGTCGCATTTGGATTTCGTTTACCTTACGAGAACCAAAAGACAAATATTTCCTCAGTTTTTTTTTTTAATATGGCTCCGAATCGGGCGGGGGTGATGTCCAGGTGGCGATTAGAAAGAAATGAAAGAAAAAAGAAAGAGATAGAAAGATGACCGTAAGCCTAGTTGCTGTGGGCGCAATAAAGGAAGATTAAAGATGATCTTCGCTAAGGTTTTTGAAACTAAAACTTTGCTGAGACGAAATCAAGTTTTTTTTCTTTTTTTTTTTTTTAAATTCAATAGCAAATGCCTTCGGGAGGCATTCCAGCGAATAGCCACATTTACCATCACCAACCCCCCATATACTACATAAGGTTGTTCCCTTGATCCTACGCACAGAATTTGTAACTTTGTGGCCTAGTGGGGATAAGTACAAAAATTCGCAATCTCATGTCAATATCGTTCTTGAGTTTAAGCAAAACTTTGAACGAGTGAAGTAGACCTTTCTTTTGTTTGTGTATCCTTCACTTCACTTAAATGGATTTTTGCTATTTAATGCGTTTTATGCTATTTTATGCAAACACGCTCCATTTTAAGCATACATAAAAGTTTACATTATAAGCGAATTGCGAAAAATTGTAGCAATGCCAGTATCAACGAATGATTTCGAATGGATGCTCAGAGGCAACACCATTTAAAAAGCAATAACAAAACCTCACATCACACCGCAAGCACTTTTATTCTTTACCGAGCTCACTTATATAAGCTTCTAAGATTCTTGGAGTTTCTCTTTTTTGCATAAAGACTTTACTTAACATATAAATCTTATAAATTATTCAAAAAAAAAGCAGAAAAAGTAATAAAAAATTTGAATGAACGAATAAGAAATGCCTTGTTATTCAAAATGGAAAATGAATGTTAAATGAGGTAAAGGCCTTCCGTAAATACATCTGCACATCCTTACTCTGTTAAAAAAAATAAATAAAGCTGCACAAAAAAAAAGTCAAATTGAGACAAAAATTGTGTGTGTGTGTACGAATCTACCGAGAGCAATGAGTTTCGCGTAAAAAAACAAACATCCTATCCCTTGTCCATAATCGCAGCATGTAACCTCGAAGTGTATAATGTATGCAACGTATAGCGGCATTAATATTTCCATTCCCTTAAGATATATCCTTGTAAGCGATGCGAGCCTTTTGGCCTATGTGCCTACTCTCCCCTCGTCAATCTATCTGCCATCTACTATTTATCAATTCTCTTGTTTCAGGTCGGTTTGATTATACCTCTTTCGGCATGCTCTTTTTGACCTATCATCTCGCTCGTCTTGGAGTGCTGTTTGCCCACTGTGTGTTCGTCGCCCATAAATCTATCTTCGATCTACTTTCCTAATATCTAGTCATTCTCTTGATTCGATTCGATAGGATTCGGCTCTCTGCCGGCCGACCCCTCTATTCTACCAGCCATACCTATCCCTCAGACTGTCCTTAGACAGGTTTGTTAGTCCCACTGCCGGTATTCTTAAAAACAACCAAAACACACTCAGTTTCAATATTCTTGTTCACGTACACAAACACCACTCGCTCCTTTCACCCCACCAGCATGCCAACGTGGACAGCACACCTCCTAAGTGACTGTTTATAAAAGAGGAAAAAAAAAAAGTTTAAAAATTGATGTAATCTATGTAAAAAATGAAGAAGCTCAGGAAAAAGTTGAAAGTTTGCACAGACATTTTCACCATTTCATTACTGATTACAATAGAAATCCAATTCTCATTTAGCATAAATTCTTATTCAAATTACATTAATAGTCTGCAGAGACAGAGTGTTTTCTGTAACTTTCAAATATTTGAATACACAAGTATCCAAAATGATGAACACCAAGGCAAATACTCTAACGTGCTGCGTGAATATTTTATTAAGGAATATTTAAGACAGAAATCTAATAGAAAACTATTTACTGTCGAATCATTACAACAATCACTCATGAAAACTTGTAAGAAAATTTTCCTATTGCTCCTATGTCAACTGTTTAATAAAATTGCAAAATAAAAATCAGAACGAAACTCGACGACGCTTGATAGCGTTCACTCCACATGTCTTAACTGCGATAAAAAGACATCATCATCGAGAAGTCTTGGCGAAATGCGTTTACTTTTTCCGCCCCCACTATAAAATCAATAAATGTTGAAACGTTGAAAATTCTGCACAAACGTAAGTAAAATTTTTATCAAGGAAATGTTACATAACTGTGTAATGTGCGAAAGCCTAATTAATTTTATTATAAAGATTTCCTTTATGCTAAATCATTAACAAGCGTTACGCAAACGTCTATAAATATTTACTTGAGTAAATACTAAGTACCATCAATGAAAACTTAATTAATGATTGCGTTTAATGGAAAATCGAATTCCATTGTAATATCTAAACGCTCTTACGATAATCCCTTCAGTAACATAGTTAGTTATTTAACATTATTACATTGCAAAATGCAATAGTGTGTTAGTTAAGTCTCTTCTCACATTTAACTCATTGAAGTCCCGTTAGTAATGAATCTGTGTAAAAATTAATTAATCATTATATCTGCAATATATATATATATATAGACTTACCAGTGGATGACTTTTAAGAAGACGAGTATGAGAAATGCTTCGTCTAGAACGGGCATGGGGTAAAGTCCGATGCTTAAAGTGATATTCATGGCCATTACCACCAACCAGCTATAATTAATTAGAAGAAAGTATAGAAAACTTATTAATGAACTGAATTAATTAGTAAAACGTAATTATATAAAAAATATGACAAAATAAAGTTATTTCATATATGAGGATAAGGGTGATTATATACAATTTATTCGCAATACAGGGAATCTATCAATCAGATATTGCATCCTCAATAATCTTTAATACTTTAAATGCCTGATACTTCACCTAGACAAAGACTTTAGCATTTACCTTCACATTAATTGCTATATGTTAAACTATACACGAAATCATGTTTGTTATACCCATCACAGAAGGAGGAAGGATTTTATCAAAAGGTTTCCAACGCCCACAAGAGAGCGAGAGAAAACATCAAATTCTGATTTGATTTACGTATGGCCGTACGTCAGTCCGTCTGTCCGTCTGTTGTAAACATTCTCGTGGTCGCAAAAACGAAACTATACTCTTGCAAGCAGGCTGGCATTAACAATGCGCCAAAAAGCTCTAAGGATACGCCTAAGGTAGCACGTAAACCGAGAATACAACCGTTTTTCAGAAGGAATAAAAAGCTGACTTGTGGCTCATTACTCAAAAACTACAGAAGATAAATTTACAAAAATTTGAACAAGTATGAATGAATGGGAAATATTAACCACGCTTACTCAATGTTATAGTATATCAAAATTAAATCTCTTTTCAATTCGGTTTCGGCCAGTTTCAAATTCGAAATGCACGTAAACATGTCCGTCTGTTCGTCTGTCCATCTGACCGTAACAAGTTGTCGAAGCTCTTAATGCTGTGAGCGCATTGATCCGAGGGTGAGGCTTATCGCTTTTAGATTATATGCTAAATCTTTGTTAACCGTAAGGAAATGTATGTTGCCTTTCAAGTACATCTCCGAGGGGAATTAACCAAAGCTCGATACACAGATGATATATAATGTTAAACGAAAACTTCGATTGAAAGCCCTTTGTCAGTCACCGACGTAAATCAGCATTATTCATGCTATTAGGCGTGGTTTCGAAGCCATCTATCCCCCGATACCCCATGTAACCGGCTAAAATATATAGTTGCCTGAAGGTAACTGCAAAATTTCATTTGAATGTCAACTTTAATCGACTGTCGCCATAAGGCCAAAATTACTTTTCATCTCTATTTGTATATCATATAATGTAATAGATTCTTCTAGCTGACGTTTGCATCAATTATAGTACAGCAATCTATCTTGAATTAATAATCACACATGCTTCTTACTTCTAGTAATCGATACTTGTTTTCATTAAGCTAAAGTGAAGAATCTTTAGCTTTTTAAATTGTTATTTTCCATTTATTGAACTGCGAAGTGGCATTCGGGGGGACGGAAATCATTTTTACATCAGTTTAACGTTGTGTTTCATTTCTCTTTTGTCTTGTCAAGGAGAAATCCTTTCTTCTTTTTTTTTTTTTTTTGCTTTTCTTGAAATCAAATCCATTTAGTTTCTTTCTTTCAACATGTTTCACATTTTTAATCTTTGCTTGATTGCTTCACGAGTAGTGACTTTATCAAGTGTAATCATCAATTCAAAGTCGTTTCTTAAGGCACATGATATCTGTTTTAATGCTAACAAGTCTAAGGAGACGGAAACTTTAAACAGCATTATAAACAGCTGCGGTCAAAGTTTTAAGGCAAACCTTTTGCTTAACACTAACATTATCTCAGCTAACAAACGCAATAGATTTAAATTGTTTTTAGTTGCGAAAAGTACACTTCTTTCAAACGTAACAAAATGCTAATAGCTTTTCTGTTTTCATTAGCAGCGAATTAATTTTTATATCAAGTTTATATATACAGACAAAAACTTTACAGAGCGAGAGCGAGAGAGAGGAGGAACACTCCCATAATGTATACATTGTATAGGGCATCGTAAGATTATAATTATATTTGTGCCTATTCGTACGTTCATCGGTCTACAAGTGGACTCTTTAATGGATTTCTTTAATGGTTCAACTCAAACGTGCCATTTTCCTCTTCGATGCAACCTTTTGTTTTATCGTTAAGACCTTTCTTTCTCCAAATCAGAAATTGCTGTAGAAAACTAGAGCTGAATTTTAATTAAGCTAACTTTGAAACGTTTCATGAAATACGTTTTGAATATATTATAGATGCCATAGCCCACAAGAGGTAAATAACGCAATCTATCGGTTTTTACACCCTACACTAATAATGTCTTTGTGCGGAAGTCTGTAATGCTCCGAAAAACTTAAGATAGACTTATCTTTTACTATACCGATCGATTCAAGAGCACTTTCTGCATTTTGTCTGTCCATGTCTGTCTGATTGTCTTGTGTTCTTGTATGCAAGTTACAGGTCGCAATTTTTGCGATATTTTGATGCAATTTTGTACAACTGATTCGTTTGCCCCAAGAACGAACATTATTAAAAATGGTTCGGGTCGTAGCACTTTTTCTACCCGTTCTCGAGTAACACTTTATTTTGAATAGTTGTCCTATGGGTAACTGCGTTAAGCGAAATGGCGTAGGTTACTCAATTATGCTACTTTTTCTTGTTTCTTGATTAATATCCTAAAATTGGAGATAGCAGTTTATTAGGACGAAAATAATTCCTCGATATAGAATCAATAACACGTTATTAACTTGTGTCGCGAAAATTGAATGCACGTATTATGACGAATATGTTCGTTAACGACAATGAAATGGTTACGTTCATTAGACTCAATACATGTATGTATATATTTATTACCGATCGATTTACGGATATTTGTCGCTAACTTCTTATTTAAAACGAAACGTTTTAATTATGAAGCACTTCTCCAACAAAAGACATCCGGGTGAGGAGGAGACGACTTGATTTGCAGTTCCATGACCACGCTTTGTCTTAATCATGTGGATACCTAAAAGATCTAATTTACACACAACACACACATATCTTCCCGGTATTGGGGGAATGGCGCTTATATACGCGGGGAAAGTTTTGATCAAGAATGCTTACGGGTCGAGAGAAGGGAAGATGTAGTTTTCTTGCATCATATCCTTCACTTCCATCTATGTTGCATTCTAATATGAAGATATCTTAAGCATTTGCTTTTTAAGATTAGCATGTCCTTGACATACGGTTAGGAGTAAAGCAAAACTTAATTTATCCAAACAAGAAAGGCAACCATGCTCTTTGCAACGTGCTTAAGAATTAAAAATTTTATATTATATTCATTTTTACGTAAAAAATTTTACATTAATAGCGAACAATTATGCAAATAGTTTCTGTGGGTGTTATTTTAATGCTAAATCCAATAAATCCACACCTTAAAACAAGAAACGCGTTCTAAAGGCTATAAATAACGGTCATAACGTAGTTTATAGTTTACGCGAAGCTTTTGCCTTAGAACTTTTGCACTCTGCACTCTGCAAATGCATGCAATATAAATATAACGACTTTTAGGTAAATAATTGCTAATCACTTAGCAACTGATCACCAAGCGTTTCGTCTTAAACGTTTTGTAATAATAGTTCCAAGAAGAAGAAGAAAATAAAGAACAGAATGATGACAGCAGAAGGCCTTTTTGATATCCGGAAATATGGAAATTCATTTTTTTCTTTCGGCAATTTTCTAGCACCGGTAGTCGTAGTAGCTTTTTTTACGTTTCGAAATTGTTGTGCTTTTCGTTTTTGGTGCCTTCGTTGGAGGCGGTTTGGTTAAGCAGCATTGAACGGCTTGGCTTGAATATCTCTCACATCCCCTTTCTTGATTTTCTTCTTGTCGGAAGCTGTCACTTCGTGAAGGCACTATTTTTTTTGTCTCACTTACTACACTAACAGTTTTTTTTTTTTTCTGCAGCACTTATGAGTTTCTTTTTATCGTCAACTGAGGCAATCATTTTCTTTAGCTTTCTTTTCACAACCATTACACTCGCTTTTACTTTCCTTCCTTCTCTTAGTTGCTGCAGTTGATACTTGAAATGAGGCCGATGCACTTTTAACTTTTGTTTGAATCAGTTTTCTGCTTGCAGCTGAATTTCCTAAATATTTTTCAATGAAAGGAGTGGCATTCGTGTGAATCGCATTATTAGTTCCGTTGATACATTTTTTAATAGCCACCACATCCTTTTAAATTTTTAATGGTGGATGAGAGGATGCAATCGAGGCTATTCAATTAAAAATGAACTTGTGTTATGGAACCTCTGATATAAATGGCGATATATTACAAAAACTAAACTCATATGCCTGCATTTTTGATTAAAAATTGATATAGAAAATGACTATTATTTCATGGTATAAACAGAATAAAAAAGTAACACAATGAACGGGAAGATTTGCAATGAAAATTAATAGGGAAAATGCTTGCATTCATTATTTGAATTCATTATTATCCTCTCGCGCGTGTAATTCAATATTCATAGCGATTGAGTAATTTTTGAATAATTTGTACGTAACGTGCTAAAGTGCCGACGCGCAGATGAGCTGTCCATCATCATAGGAAGGCTATGTTGCTGTGAATAATTGCAACCACCAATATTGGAAAACAATTTTGTTAATCCATATTTAATGCGCAAACAGTCGTCCAACATATATAGAATGACGCAAAATAGCCGATGACTAGTGGATGCTTGGAACTTGACTGATACTCTTTTTTTCATTTTTAGTTCTATGTGCTATCTATCATCACAACGTTCATCACCTTGACCGAAAATTACCTTTTCTGTGTATGAAGAGTGTTTTCTCAATTAAATATAAATACACGAAATAATTTTGAAATTATTTAAACAAATTTAATGGGAAAATATTCCCAACATATGGTACAATATTGATAAAGCAAAGAGAGCATTAAAAAGTGTGTGATATATATAAATATGCAATAAATGTCTACAATATGTATAAGTGAAATGTGCGAGAATGTCATAGAAACGAAGACAATACAATGAGTTAACTGAAAACGTAAGAGTGCACATCTCTGTCTTTGTTTATACCATATAAAGCAATGCGAACATGTACGTAAGCCTTTCGCTTCAACATTTCATCTATTA